GTCTGTCTGTCCGTCCGTGACTTCACGTTTTCGTCGACGAGAAAATGCGCTCTCTGTCACTCACTGCAGTGAGTACTGAGTTAAATTTGTTCAACTTTTTTGGAGTTAACTTGGGTTAGCTTTTTGGTGTCAAAAATAACATACTGTTACCTTCATGAATTGTTCTTGTCGCACTAACAATCGGTTAACACCACTGCAGTTTTGTCATGCTATTGCTGGAAATGTAGAAAAATTGCGCTAAAATACTCATATTACGACGTTTCTATTTCGGGTGTAGGAAATCAGTATCTCTGATATCTTTCGTGTCATGCATACACTACAGAAATAAATGTATTTGGTTGCGAGTAATTAATTTTTCAATTGGCAAAATTATCAGAAATTAGTTTAATTTGAAAAAACTTGCAATGGTTTTTGTTCAAAGATTGGTTTGTCTGACGGTATTGCTATGGCACTAAGTCAAATAAATGTTCTAAATTTCAAATCTACCACTGTTTTCTTTTCGTCCTCTGATGCACTTGCTTTACAAAATTTTGTGATAACACAAAACAAATTTTTTAGTTAATTAGCCGTTATATATGAGATCAATATACAACAATAGCAATAGGGCATCCTTTTGTACAAACATTAAACATGTTTAGGTAACTTTAGGTAATCTACAGAGTTTGAAATTTTTTCTTATCTAACCATTTGTTGGAAGTTCCTCATTTATTTTGAATAATATGAACATTTCTTTCAGAGCTATTTTGACCTCTTGCTATTCTTGATTGTCGACGCTAGCTAGTATAACAATTAACATACATCCTATTCCCTTCCCTTCATCGCATAGTTTACCCGTATTTACTTCCCAACAAAGTTGAGGAGAAGAAGTAACCTTAACTCATACCTTAATTATGCGAAAAAAACATTCTTACATAAAGGAAACTTGTCGTATCCAGTAAAATTACTGATAGTTACCCTCCTCTTAAGTCAAATTATTATCACAACGTTGAATGGACCGCCCAGGATTTCGGGAGACCAGACATAATAATTAAAACAGCGTTATAGTCTTCTATGTCTTGTACTTATTCATCGCTTTAACAGCGTTATAGCCTTCTATGTTTTAAACCTATTTGCGAATTTTAAATATTGTTAGAAGTTTTAGAAATTCAGACAATAGAAATTATTTCAAAAGCATTGTTAACTGCTGGAATCTTCAGGAGCGAACTGTACTTTCATTCTTGATTTTACGACCGAGTTACAGTTAATGAGGCTGTCAATGAATCTAATACAATTAATAAGAATTATTAATGAGACATGGCAGGTTGTGAATTGAAGAAATTTACAATTAATTTCATCCGCAGCACTCTAAACTTTCTGTCATTGTGGCATTGCCTCAACTCTCAATCCAGCACACGTTTTTCTATCGTCTTAATTGCACATTTTATTCATTAAACGCAATATTGTGTTTAAGAGCCCCTACTACTAGTCCAAGTGTGGAATTAAAATTATATTATGATACTAAATAAATTTTAGGGCGCGCCATTTCCACTTTACATTAGTTTAACCCATTCAAATGCCATTTTCTTCTATACACAATTTTTCTATGGAATTCAGGAGTATCTATTTCTTTTACACGCGAGTGTCAAAGATGTCAAAGTGGCCAGTTGACAGTTAACTATATTTGATTATATTTATATAAACTATATATTTGATTATATATGGTTTGACATTTAGAATTTCAAGAGACTTAAACAATGACTGGATATAAAAAATAATTATCTTAAACTGCAGGGTATTTTACATAAATGATTTTGATCCATAACATATAGGCCTATGCATTAGCCGTCAGAATTGACGCATTGAAGATTTTTGAAGTGTAATAGTTTGGGGAAACGCCGTATGGTCACCAATACTTGCAAATGACACAAATTTAGTCGACAGTGTTCAAAGACGTGCAACAAGGATAGTTCCAGGCTTAAAGGGCTTGAAGGGCAAGTCTTATGAAGAAAGATAAAAGATTTTGAAGCTTCTACGTCTCTGTTACGACGTTTGCTTGGTGACCTCATTGAAGAATGTATTCATGTATACTCATGGTTTATACAAACTCCCAGAAGGATTTCTATAATTTAAAACAACAACTAACATCAGAGGCCACAATTACAAGCTAGTAAAACTGCGGTGCAATTCATCCACGTGACAACATTTCTTCTCGCTTCGAGTCAAGGACATGTGGAACAGCCTCCCTTTCAAGTCGGGCGTTATAACAGCCTCCCGTTATGAACGCGTTTAAGGATAAACTAGACAAGTCTATGCAAAAGTATATGTTCGGTCTTGAAATATCCAGCACCCTACGGAAATAGTAAAAGTCCAGTGATGATGGAAACCAACGTCGGTTGAAAAAATCTGGGCAAAAGGCCAGTTTAACTGTGAACAAGTCACGGAAAGTACCTACTAAGATCGGCGACAGGCCTATTTCTTCAACGACTAAGATGCTATGCTGTGCTGTGCTAATAAATGAAACTTGTCTCATTCTCCAGCGCCAGTGTAGTGAACAGACATAATATTATTCATTCTTACATCCAAATTATTGTAGATTTCATTCATCCTTTCAGACAACGAATCAATGCGCCTATAAGAATGCATATATTCTTTTCAATAAGAATCTGCTAGAACACGGAAAGTTCAATATATAAATTGAATGAAAGTTAGGAAACTTCTTTGAATTATGGATTTTTAAAAATGCTACACATGTCATGAAGACTATTCAGAACTCGGGTATCAAATGTGGGTAACAAATTGTGTTTGAAGTTTGATTTGAGAAATGAATGAATAAATAAGAATTGAATGTTTTTTTAACTTAGAATATATGTCATATAATCTTTATCACGATTAATTTGGTCGTAAAGAAGTTTCATCTTGACATAACAGAAGAAAATGAATTTCTAATTGAAATAATGCGAGTGAATTGAATGTGAGTGAATTGTCCTTCACTCTCATATAAACTTTAAAAACTGAACCCTCGCGTATATGAACGAAAACCTTTATCAAGTCTTCGTTTGGGAGAAAATAACGCTTCATTCACTTTTCAATAATTAATTTTTTTAATATTTTCCTGTTTTAATCACTCCTTCACTTCCTAAATTCAAATAAAACCCTAAATGCAAATGAAACGTACAGCGAATTGATGTAAAATTAATGGATATCAATAGGATATCCTTGTAGAATGTATGAATAATGTACGTTCTTTGTGTATGGCGGATCTTGCGTTATATATTCGAACTGCAAAGTCTAATTGAATTGTACCAAAATAAGATGATGGAATTATACCAAAATCAGATGAGCAGAAAGTAAACTATTGTTGCCATATCCCATAAAAAAAATTTTTAATTCTGTGGAACAGAATAAATATTAAATTAATGTTTTCGATGATCGGCAACTTGTGGAAGCAAAGAAAAACGCGATACGTTTCTAGTGGAAGGCCTATGAACACAATAATGAATTCGATCTCTGAGGCTCACACAGCCGAGGCCGCGAAACTAAATTCATCAGCATCTGCTCTTCTTTTTTTAAGTCTTTGTTCCTTTCTTTCCTATTTGGTCTTCGATCGATCATACATAAGAAAAAAATTTAATGTTTAGGAGAACAACAACCATATGCCAATATTTTTTTTGTGTGTACAAAATTACTGCGTACACGTACGTAGAAGCTAACAAATTACTGCATAAAAATCAAAATTCGAGGAAATTATCAAACTTCTTCTCACAATTCTTTATTTTAGCCTTGGAGTTGGGCAATCTTAAGCCAGCGCAGAGGACAGTGTCATGCAGCGATGAAAATTTTCTAGGTGGAAATGCTACCTGTATTAATTTATTAATCAGATCAACATTTTTTCATCTTATCCGTTGTGCGTTTAACTAATGAAATACTCCGGGTGTACTCTCAACCATAGTGCGACTTGCATTGTTCCACTTCGTTATGTACATTATCATAAGAAATGGTGTGAAAATATTTCAGATAATATAATTTTTTAACGGAGCTTACCATTGAAATCTTCATTTTGACGGTACTTTTGGCTATTCCTGCTTGTCTTAAGAAAGTGTATTAATATGAATAAACTGTTCCTTTCTTTTGTGCAGGATGAGCGTATTATCCATTGCATGAGTTACTTCAAAAATAAGTCACAATTATTCGATCTAAAATTAATACGTCAATATGCTCATGAAATTTAAAATTTTTTTAAGTAAGAGGATTTCTCTTGTGGGCTTCATAAAGGTGACATAAATGTTGTAAGTCAAACTCGAAGCGACTCATTAGGAGCTTTTTTATCCACGATAACGCAAAATTCTGATACAAGATAACACTTCCATATAAAATACAAAGAATGAAATAACTGTATATATTCATAGGTGAAATGTCACACGTAAGGCGGCAAATTGCTGGATACTCATAGAGAATTAGAATAGTAGTTAAGAATACAAGAGTCGAGCCAGTTCTGCCGATAGTGATTACTTTTCGATCAAAGTAACTATACTTACTGGCATTCACTACGGTACGGATTACTATGAACATATAAAGATTACCCTAGAGACTTCACGACAGATTGTGAATTTGTATGTGGTATGAGATTTTCTCGATTATTGAAACGACGACTTTAAAATAAGAACCAATCAGCGCCGTCCAATCTTCAATGTGTCAATTTATTGGCTAATACTTTCATCGAATTTTTTGGCAGCGATGGAACCAAATCTTGTGGCCAGGCCATAATCTATACACGCATGACAGAATAAATATTCTGTTCAATAATTGCATGAACCTTTGATTATATTTCAGTCCCAAGTTTTTGTCGCAGAGTTTAATTTGAATGGAATTTCTTAATTGTGAGTGATGATATTAACATATGAAGCATGGCTAAACTGAATGAACATTTATTTGGAACCACAAATTGCTTAATAAATAAATTATATTTTGTGTTCATTAGGAGACGAAGGGAAAAGAAAATTAAAAATTTATAACATAGCTCTTTATTGCGAAATTAAAATTAAGTAATGGACAAAACTGATAATATAAGTAATGGACAAAACCTTGTCAACGCAGTCGTTCTCAGTAAATAAAGTTAAATGCGTTAGGCAAGAATAGGAGAGAGATAAAATAAATAACTTACAACATTTGTCCTTCTATCTTAAGTTGCTAGTTGTCTTCTAAGACAAAGACGTTTCATGTGGCCGTGACGATAGCTTGCAATGAGCACCACAGCTCATTGCAAGCACAGATAGCTTGCAATGAGCACCACAGCTGTTTTAAGTCTAAAAATCTAAAGCATTGACAAGTTTACTTGACTCATGTTTCTGGATCAAATTCTGTTGTGACTTCTATGGAATTGAATATATCGTCTAGCGGAGAATCAGTAGAATCTTCTAAAGACGATACCGACGAATTGAGGACTAAAGCTTGCGTTAGGCTTGACGAAGAGAAAGTCTGTTCGTCTTCAGTGCCTGAGGGTAGCTTGGCCTGTGAAACTTCGGAAAATAAGCTAAAAGCAGATGAAGGTGCCAAGTCATCAAACAGATCTTCCGTGCTTGAAAAGTGTTCTGTTGAATTAACCTCTGGTGAGTTATCGATGGTTTTATTCTCAAAACTCTCTCTAGATTCGAACCTTCTTAAGGATTCCACCACTCCTCCGAGGTCCGTGTGAACACTGTGCTGTGGTTTAAGCAGGGATGCTCCGAAACCTGACAGGGCACTGCTGTCTCTCTCACGAGACAAGGCATCGTCTAGAGAATCAAATCTTTCCAAAGCCTGTTTAATTTCAATTAGACTGTTATCACTGTTATCGACAGTATTGAGGACTCCATTTGAGGTCCGTGAGATTGTTGCTAAATTTTCCGAATCATCCTCGGAACTTCGGAAAATTGTAAAGGATCTCGGTTGAGGCGCACTAGGTTGGACTGGAGCTTGAAATTCTGCAGGAACTTGAGCTTCATCTACACCTCCTATAGCTTGAAACACCTCACTGAGTGTTTGAAATTGTTGACTTGGAGAATCAGAAGCTAACTCACTTGTACTTTCTAATCCAAAAGATCCTGTCTCAGCTGCTAAATCCTTTAGAGCTCCTACTAGCTGATGCGGTTCTTCAATGTCAATTCTTTCAACACTCTCAAATGCACCTTCGGTCACGATTTGAAAAGTGTTCACAGTTGCATGAGAAGATCCAGTCGATGAAACTTCTGATACCTGCACAGTTGTCGGGCTGTTTGCTAAATCAGAAGCTATATTAGCATCATTTAATGAAACATCATGACTTATCAGTGATGGAACTGATTCAACCGGTTCTTCAACCGCAATGCTTTCTGTTGCAGTCTCTGATACTGATGCTTCAGCGATGTTAGATGTGGGTACTTCATCTGCAGGTGCCACAATATTTTGATTGATCACTCCTCCAATTGCTTCAACTGGCCCAACATCTATGTTAGTTGTAGCAGAGTCTGCCACCGTAGCTTCATTGTTAACTGATGCAATGACCTCATCAAAAGGAATCACACTTTGACTGACTAATGGTTCAACTGCTTCTTCAACAGATAATGTTGCTGCATCAGTCTCAGCCGCTGATATTTCAGTTGTTTCCGGAATTGTTTCATCTGCAAGTACCCCGCTTTGACTGATCTCTGTTTCTAGGATGTCACTGAATTCTGCAACCGAGACTGCATCAATTTCTCCCACAGATGCTTCAGTTGTGTCAGGTGCAGGTACTCCATCCGCTGGTTCAACAATTTGGCTGAACACCGGTTCAACTGCTTCATTTGGTTCAACAGAAACTATTTCTGACGCAATCTCGGCCACTGTTGCTTCAGTGGTGTCAGATGCAGATACATCATCTACAGGTTCCACATTTTGATTCAGCGGTGTTTCTACTGTTTCGGTTGGTTCTTTGAGAGATACTCTTTCAAATCCAGTCTCAGGCACTGCTGCTTCAGTGGTGTCTGATGTAGGTGCATCTATTGCTAAGGCGACACCGTCCGAATCAGTGAGCAAAACCTCGTTTGCCACGCCTGGTGCATCAGCAGTTTCGTCATCAAAAAGCGCAGAGACTAATGACTCAGAAGAGTCAGGCGATCCGGAGATAACTTCACCGAGCAAAGCGTCTTCTGCTGCAAATACAGACCTCTCAGTAACAGTATCTTCTTGCAAATTTGTGGATTGACTCGTTTCTTCTATAATATCGTTCTCCACTGACGGTTCTTGGATATTTCCAGCATCTATTGACCCATATTCAGTCACTATTTCAATTACATCCTCAGATCCAGTAACAAGTGCGGCTGAATTAACAGTTATAGATAGCTTAAGTTCTTCCTGCTTTTGATCAGTTTCATGAACCGCTACTTCCTCATTTACTTGGGTTGCGTGAGATGGAACTTTGTCGTTGCTGTCGTCAACCAGCACTGCTTTGTTAGAAGAGTCGAAAGGAATATTAATAGTGCGGGGTTGAAATTGATTGATAACAATTTTTCTCGGTGCTTTGTACAGAAGGTATGGACGCCTGGTGTATGACCGGCGAGGGATCGTGTACGACCGACGAGGTGTTGTATATGAGCGAGGTGTTGTGTACGATCTGGGTCTGGGGGTTGTAGTATATGATCTTGGTTTAAAGTTTACCCTCGGTGAGAAATAAGTCCCTCCAAATCTTGGGAAAAATCGGCGAAGAGTCGTTTTAGGAGCTTCTGTTGTCGTGGGTGATGGCTCTCGAGTCGTTGATGGGGGCAAATAATAAGAATTGATTTCATCCGACTCGTTTTCTTCTTCGTTTGCGGAAGCCTCAGTTATGGTGGTGGTCGTTTGTTCTTGAGTGGGTGACGGGGGTAAGTAATTTGTCTCTGTTTCATTTGACTCATCTGCGGGCTCAGGTGCCTCAGTTGGGGCAGAGGTAGCCGTTGGTTCTTGAGTTGTTAACGGAGGCAGATAGTTATTCTCTATTTCATCAGACTCAGTGTGTTCTTCAGGGACAGGGGCCTCGGTTGTGGTGGTGGTTGTCGTTGGTTCTTGGGTTGTTGATGGTGGCAAATAATAAGTCTCTATTTCTTCAGACTCCGCTTCTTCTTCGGTTTCGGTGGGGACTAATGAGGCGGCTGGTTCTTGAGTTGTTGACGGTGGCAAATAGTTGGTCGCTATTTCTTCAGATTCATCTTTTTGTTCTTCAGGGACAGAAAGCTCTGTAGTAGTTGTTGTTGGAATATGTTCCTGAGTCGTTGATGGGGCCAAATAGTAGGTCACTATTTCTTCAGAATCATCTTCTTCCTCAGGGACAGAAACTTCTGTGGTAGTGGTGGTTGTTGTAGGTTCTTGAGTCGTTGATGGGGCCAAATAGTAGGTCACTATTTCGTCAGACTCATCTTCTTCCTTAGGTACAGGAACTTCTGTGGTGGTGGTAGTGGTTGTTGTAGGTACCTGAGTTGTTGATGGGGTCAAATAGTAGGTCACTATTTCTTCAGAATCATCTTCTTTTTCAGGGACAGGAACTTCTGTGGTGGTAGTTGTTGTTGCGAGTGGCTCGTCAGTTGACGTAGATATAGTGTAGCGTCTATAAGTAGTGGAAGCTTGTGTATATGGTCGCCTGGTGGTTCTACTATACGCAGAGATTGGTACTTCAGTGTATTGCTGCGTAGTAGTAGTTGGGGCTGAATAACGCGCCTGAGGAGGTAGGTAGGAACTGGGCAACTCTTCACTCTCACGGCGTTCGATCTTCTGCGCTCGTGCTCTCTCAATCTGCAGGAGTGAGTGAGCAGGAATGGGAGGTCCGACGGGTAGAAGATCGGAGCTTGGCTGGTAACCTCCTTTGTCTGCGATGAACGTCAACGCAACGACCGAACCGTCTTCTTGAACGTAACTGGAAGAGCGATATTCTTACAAAATGATTATGATTCTCTCTTCTGTTCGTTTTTACGGGAATTGTATCAATTTTTTTCAAGTCCCGTTGAATTATTGGAAATGCTGATCATAATTATCGAGTGAAAATATTATAACCTAGAAGTAGTTAGTAGTAGTAGTAGTAGTCTAAAATTTCATGTGTGAGCTTCGTTTAAATTGATTGATTGTAGCAGCTGGGTTCAGAATTTTGTTTGTGGGCCTGGCTAGTTCTTCTATCGTGCCTTATTAAATTTTATACCCGTAATTAATATCTCTTAAAATAACATCACTACTGACAGATGACCGTGTTCAGGACATCAATCAATTATAAACGGCTAATGACTAGCCAATGAATACCTTTGATTAATTTGCAACAGAATTTGTCTTCTACCTGTAGCCTCCCTCGATGATGGCTTCTCCATTCGCACCGCTGCTTCCGTTCTGCCTGACGACGAGGCCGTTGGACGCTTCAAAGAATGAGCTGTGTTCGCCTGAGGCGGTAGGGTCCTGCCTGGACTCTTTGACCACCGTGATGAATTTGGGCGGGAAAACTGGTGCGGGTGCCACGTATGACTGCGCTGCCACCGCGCATGTTGCCGTCACGAGCAATGCCGCTGCTGATATCACCTGTGCGCGGGGGAATGAATATTATGAACTGGAATCGTAGTTATTTCAGAATATGTTGCTTGGAAGCGTTGTTCACCCTGTCGGAACTTGAATTTTTCAAATGTGTTGCAGTCTAGGTTCGAACTCGTTAGCGTTTGCCAGTGGTTGTATAACGAAAATAAAATAATAAGTTTCGACAGGTACCTATTATTTTTTGGTACTTGTTGAAACTTATTATTTTGTTTTAAAGTCGGATGTGGAGCCGACATATTTCTTACTGCAATCAATCATTCGAAAGATCACCTTGTGGGTTAAATGAAATATTTAAAAAAATTTCCTTGTATATACAAATGGAACTTCATTCAATACATCTATCTTCATTCAAATATTGATATTTCAGGAACTTTATATTTTTGGATGAATAGTCTACAGTAAAATAGCTAAAACTTTTAAATTTTGAAATCTTGATTCTGTCCAACATCAACTGCCTTGTTTTAAGTTGTTTACAATAGCATTATAACAGCCCAGTTGCAAATATTTTTTTCAATGTAACTGATGCAAACCAATGAGCACAAGCCCAAAAGGAAATGAAAGTAATCCCTCTTAATTCCAAGGATCAGAGAAAGATTTCCTAGTTTCAGAACAGCAAATTTCAAAATTTCCTAAGTTAATTTACACAAGAAATTTTCCAGTCATGCTCGAGCGCCCGACCTTTGCTCTGCGGCGCCGCGTTGGCGCTCTGACAATGAAGCATCTCTGGCAGCGCTACACTCGTCCAACAAAACGCAGACGTAGAGCACACACAGCCGCTTATCACGACCACCGTTTATAAGGCATCAATTAAACTCGCTAATGAAGTGCAGGGCCTCCTCGCACTTTCACGAACACGAGCCATGAAGTGAAGCCCTTGACACTGAATGCTGAAATCTGGTACACATCTTATTGTGACAGATGAAGGCCGGCGGCAGGTTAAAGAGTCGATTTTCGTTCGTTTTTGTCGTCCAGTTAAGGACTCGATCGTCAAGAAGCCATGAGAAAAAAGGCCATAAGAAATAACTGAATTCGATTATCAGGCGACGTTAAGTGATGAAAGTTTCGGTAAAATTCGACGAGTTTTTCGGTCCGTCACAAGAACTGTGAACCAATATACCGCGCCAGTAAAATGCAAGTAAATGTAAGTTAATATACTTTGGGCAAATTAAAGCCTAGGTGCAAAACGAGCCATGCAATTTGCTTCTTTTTGATTCCACGTCTTTCAGTAGACGATGAAATTTAACTTCTTAATAGTATTTAAACATGTGAGCAGGTTTTGGTTTAATTTAACACAATTTGCTAGTTTGAGTCTTGAATTTAGTTTTAAATTGAAAGTTGCAGATTATGCAATGAATCTTATTCCCGGACACATGGTAGCTGAAAACCTCATGCTGAACTCGCAATTAACAGCGAATTTTGAAAATCTAAATCTAATAACTGAATGAACTAGCACTAAAAAATAACATCGCGTTTGATTATCATTTCAATAATAATAAATGGCCATGCTTCATCCTGCGTAATTGCATTTCAGATCCAATATAGCTCTCGCGAGTGCATGTATTTCAATTAAAAACGGGAGCCTTATCAGCGCCGGGCAATCGGCGATCAACACATTTCCTGATTTTTATCGGGGCAGCTAAACTGCCCTCAAATGACCGCAAATGGAACGAAACTCGTGCCTGGAATCCCAATTAAGTTTGCTGCCTCCACCCAATAAAGTTTGATGGATGAATACTCCAGAGCTTCTCCAACAAACTTCAGTATGGCAACTCTGGTACAACGGATAATACACCGGTATTGATATTTTTTCCCCAGTTTGTTACAATTATTATAAATATTGATAATATTATTATTAATAATATTATAAACCTTATTTTTATTATCATTATTGTTACTATCAGTTTTACTTTTATTCCCGTAACATAACGTGCGTCACGAGTCACAGAACGAGTGTCAAGAGTCGCGTAACGATCGTCACGAGTCACAGAACGAATGTCACGAGTCAGGTAACGAGCGTCACGAGTCGCGTAACGAGCGTCGCAAGTCACGGAACGAGCGTCACGAGTCGCGTAACGAGCGTCACGAGTCGCGTAACGAGCGTCGCGAGTCGCGTAACGAGCGTCACGAATCGCGTAACGAGCGTCACGAGTCGCGTAACGAGCGTCACGAGTCGCGTAACGAGCGTCGCGAGTCGCGTAACGATCATCACGAGTCAGGTAACGAGCGTCACGAGTCACGTAACGAGCGTCACTAGTCACGTAACGATCATCACGAGTCAGGTAACGATCATCACGAGTCACTTAACGAGCATCACGAGTCACGTAACAAGCGTCTTAGTTACAGTTAGTTGAAAATCAATCCCGTTATCTAAATCATGTGAATATTATTGGAAGGAAATTTTCGTCGCTGTAAAAACTTAATTAGATATAATTTAAATTAGAAACAGCTTAAATTTATGAAGGAAACACTGAATTTCAATATTGATATAATTGATAATTTGGAAATATTCTATAATTTGTCAAAGGTTTTTTGATTGTGTGTTTAAAATCATGCGCCGCATATATATATATATATATATATAGAGGATGGTGAGGACCGTATCCAGGATACTTATCGTGTCTGGATATATGCTGGACCTGAAAATTCAATCATTCTTGGTGGGAGATTTTATAGCATCGAAAAACTCAGTATAAATGATTGGATCGAAATTTAAATTTGATTTATACTTTTTCATTATAAATTTACTTCGCAATTCGAAAAAATCTATATTTTGAAACGAAATTCAAATGGAAGTTCTGTGATCTATGTAGAATGTGAGTTTGGGCACGACTGTCATTTATCTCCGTGCATTTCTTTTACTATTTTTAACTGGATTATTGATAACATGATACTTAAATTTCCGGGGTTATTGATGCAAAAGTACAAAGTACAAAATTATAAAAATACGAAATCAATTATTTCTCTAACAGTGGTGAAATCAGGTTTACCTGCTAATCGAAAATACGATATAATTTTTGTAATCGAAAGTTTTCACCTTCTTTTTTGGTCGACAAATGATTCTAACACTAAAAATCGTAGATATACCGTCCTATGTCACCGCATATTCTCGGCGCTATGTTTAATATACATATATAAACCAATTTTCTAAATTGTTTTATGGATTTAGAACATGAAGATAAATTCGTTTGCCAAACACCTGCAGAGCCGCACGGATCATACCAGGACATATGCAGTCAGAGAAAAAAAAGCGTGAGAACGTCGTTAGCTTCGAAAAAATTTTTGTGTCGATTCCTTTGATTCATATTTGTTGTAATTTTTTGTATAATCGCTTAACACTTCGTACGAGCGAATAGGCCTGAAAATAGTTCTGTGTATTAAATCCGTTTCAACTCTTCTCGGAAAATAAATGATAATCGTCTTTAGGGGAGATATTCAGCCAGACTACATAACTTGACAACAACATAACTTCAGCCGGACAACTCAAGTTGTTGAAGATTATTTTTAAGTCCCAAAAAACATACCTATAATTTTCCCAGGGAGACTGACACCCAGATTGACCCGTCAAATTATTTATTCAACATTCCGATGCCAATTTTTCTTCAAGTTTGAGCTGCAAAACTTTCCAAAAATAATTTTCAAAATATTTTTCAAGCACATGAGCCCACTCATTTACTTCCACGCGTCAGTTTCTAAACATTGTAAGATCATACCGAAAATCCTGACATTCTCGCCTTCTTCAGTATTTTTCTTTCTCCCTCAACATCTCTCCTCCATTCCCCAGCTGTCAATGAGACTCTGCTTCTATATTAATTGTACAGGCCCTAATAAGACATGCCTCACGTACGCTTACCAGCCTCATGATGACTCCGTTACTAACGACGTGCGACTGCCCTCGGTGTGCGTGACCTCCGCTTATATAGGCGCAGCCATATCCTTGGCTACGAGATCCAGATGCAGGAGATACGTCCAAGCTGCCCAGCAATGCCATGGCTTCTTGAATTAATCAGAGTGTCTTTTAATGGCCAAGACGGTTTTTTTCAAGCGCTGCAAGTGCCGGTTTAACGGCCATGATTAGATTTTTAACGGACGCGATGGTCTTTTTAACTGCCACGAGGGACTTTTTAACGGCCGCAAGGGTACTTGTAACGGTAACGAGGGTCTTTTTAACGGCCGCAAGGGTCTTTTTAACGACCGCAAAATTATTTTTAACAGCTGTGAGGGGCTTTTTTCCAGCAGCCGCAGTCGTCTCTCCTACAATAGCCGGGGCTTCGGTTACTCGACTGAGCTTACGACATATCCTATTTATCTCTGTAATTAGTGCGAAGGCTCCTGTAAGTTGACTGGATCTGTAAAATGTCATATTTTTATATAATTAGTGCAAAGGCTTCTATAAGTTGACTGAATCCGTAGAATATATTATTTTTCTCTGTAATCAGTGCAAGGGCTTCTGTAATTGCCTGGATGGCCGTTATTAGAGCACTAGATGGCACTTATAGTTGTGTGAACAGCTACGCAGAAATATCGAAAATTTTTGCAGTTTCTGCATGAGTTATGATTAAGGGTATTGTTATGGGTATTGTATTGTTATGATTAAGGGTATTGAGCAATTGAGAATCAAGTTTGGCGATCTTCATTTAATTCTTGCGTTAGATCGGTAATAACATAATATTGTATACGGAAGTTAATTAGTACCCTTAATCCTACCAAGGCATAACACGGCTGTCGTCTCCGCAAAAACTGCACCAGTTATCCCTGAATATTCTTCTGGTCTTTGAAGACACAGACGCTTGCTGGCGGTGCCATGCTATCTGTGTACACAAAATTCCCGTTTGATTAACTAATAAAGCACAAAAGCAACACATTTTTTGTCCTCAAATAATATACCCACAAAAAGCTCGACGAACACAGGCGTCGGCGTGTTCGGTATTTAAAATCCTAAACACTTTATAATAACTGATTTATGAGATAATTAACGGTTGGCCGGCGTCAATTCTGCTATAATTTGCAACAAGCACAAGTGTCGCAGGCAATTTAATTTGCAAAGATCGAGTACGTGAGCTTCAAGGCATGTTTTTCAGGACTTTTATCGCGCAAACATCGTCGTTTTGAGGAGCAGCGGCGCTCGCGATACCTTAAAATACGGTCGATGAGACCGTAATTTCCTAGGTTCTACATATCGCGGGCATTTTTCTGATTTCAAGTTATTTTCTGCGCGTGTTTATTAAATTATGCTCGCTATATTTTATCGTCAGAAACTTTAAACGTTTGAAAATAAACCAAGCAGTGTGAGTACCATCTCTTGCGAATAACTTACTTATCTTAATTAGATAAATATAAAATCATATGTGGAAAAGAAATATGAAATAAATCGATATCTTAAACATATTTTGCAAAGTTTGTATGTTTGTTTATATGTTTGCTTGGAGCCTGGCGTAGTAGATATATAGGGCAGTTCAGACGCGCGTATCCACGATACAGATCACGTAGGTGGATTGTGTTTTAGACAAAAGAAAAGATTTTAAGAATAAGAAGAATTAACCGAATAAAAATAAAAATTTATTTTCAAATTTAAATTTATAAATTTATATTAAAGTAGTTTTTTAATCTAACAGTTTTTCGTCGAAATCAAATGCAAATCTAATGAAAATTTGTTTCAAGCTACAAAATCATGACTATACGTAGTATCAAATGAAAATTAATGTCAAGCTGACACTGGCTGGCTCCATATAGTTGGCAATGTATCGGCCTCAACTAACAAATTTTTTGCAGCTTGTTGTCTGTAACCTTCTGGGGATTCGTCTGACCTCATCACAACGTATGTTGGTAGGTCACTTCGTCTGACCTCATCACAACGTATGTTGTAGGTCACTTCGGCTGACCTCATCACAACGTATGTTGGTAGGTTACTCCGTCTGACCTCATCACAACGCATGTTGGTAGGTCACTTCGCCTGACCTCATCACAACGTATGTTGTAGGTCACTTCGTCTGACCTCATCACAACGTATGTTGGTAGGTTACTCCGTCTGACCTCATCACAACGCATGTTGTAGGTCACTTCGTCTGACCTCATCACAACGCATGTTGGTAGGTCACTTCGTCTGACCTCATCACAACGTATGTTGTAGGTCACTTCGTCTGACCTCATCACAACGTATGTTGGTAGGTCACTCCGTCGTCTGACCTCATCACAACGCATGTTGGTAGGTTACTTCGTCTGACCTCATCACAACGTATGTTGGTAGGTTACTTCGTCTGACCTCATCACAGGCACTCTGTCCGATCTCTTCACAACTTGTTATTAATTCATAGATTTTAGTAGCGGAATTACTTTAAATAGAGCATTGATTTTTATTTAAATTTAGTTTATTGTTATTGAAAAAGAGGCTCCTTACGATCGCTAAATTGCAGACATGCATGCATGCGTTCATAGGTACAAATTTTCTAGAGTGATACTCAACATGATTGTCCATGTCTAAGCTCCTGACATACATCAGCTTCTATCTTAAAGGGAAAACTTTACTGGGATACTTGAAATTCCACCAAAAAAAGCATACATACAATTTTCAGATCTCACTAAAAAAGCTACTTACAAATTTCCACTTTTTGATGGGAAACGTGCATTGAAATTTTTCAGATCTTGTTGGGAATTAAAATTTTTTTATTAGAGGGAAAATTTTCCGAACCGTTCTGACAGAGCTGCATGCCGTTCTATCATCGGCAACAAAGGAGCTATAATTGATTTTTTCTACGTGGGTGTTTTTGTGTGAAGATCGCTGCCCGCATATGACTCAGCTTCGAGGGCTGGTTTTGCAACGATATCCTTCAATAACTGCAATTTATTTTTGTTTATTTAATCAATTTTCCCAAGTTAAATTGTTATTTTATTTAGCCACATCTTTGTCACTAGTCGATTTTGAATAGGCCTTCATATTTTGCTGCTATTTTCGTAATTCGTGTCCAGTGCCTCACTGAAAATAAATTTTAATTTGTAAATGTTTGGGCCAATATTATTAAGTTTTCGATGTTTCAGTGAGTTATCCCTTATACTATCACTGTGATTGTTATAATGAAATTAAATTTATGATTATTCTTAAATTCAACTAGTTGAATACAGATTCAACTAGTAGTGCAAATGATAAATTGCGATTAATCAAAAAATTTGACGGTTAAGCAAATGTATCATTTATTATATATTTTTATTGCGCAAAATTTCATTAAAAAGACTCAATATTGAGCTAGGTCTTAAACAACCGTTAGTACTTCGTGCGCTCTCACGATACGTAGTTAACCATTGATGCAATTTGGGCGCTTAACTAAATTTCGACAGTCGCCCGAAAATCAATTCCGGCACAACCTGGGCGAGCTCGCCGAGCACGGAATATTCGATAGTAAGTGCAAAACATTGCTATCTCAGACATTGTCTTGAGCTCATCGTTTTTTAATCTTAGGTTCAACGTCTTTCCGTCTTGTGTTCATCGTTTTTAAATAGTGCACTTATAGTCTTTTCATTATGCGCTCATTATCTCGTCATTTTGCATTATCTGCTTCTTGCGTTCATCATCTTAATTTGAGTCTTGCATTTCATCTTTTTTTTTTTATCCTGCACTCATCGCCTCCCGTCTTGCATTATGTTGTCTTTTCGTAACGTGTTCATCATCTTTCAGTCATGCGACTTTTAAGCCCGGCTTTTTTTTGCTATTCGAGCTCCTCTTGTTTCCTGCAAATTTTCGACGCAGCGTCGCATAATTGCTTATGAAAAACCCAGAGAGATCGAGTTGACAAGAGTGGCAGAGTTTAGAATGCTTTAGCTGATAAGAGTTAATTTAGAGAGAGTTATTATTTGTTGAAATTACTTGGAGGCTGACCCACTTAAGATGCAGTTAAGTCATGTCGTAGCTTGATTTCTTGAATTACTAAAATAATCAGTAAATATAATCATCGCAGCAAAATAGAGTAATTTATACTACATAACATTGATTTAAGTACTTCTTTATGCAAAGGGAATAGTAATATCATGACTGGAAATTCTTTTTCCATATAATAATAATAATAATATGCATTATAAGCACCACTACTATAAGCTATTATTTAAATTGATTAGTTTATATTCTTCATGAGTTACAAATATGTGCGTCCTACGCAGCGACATAACGTCATGCAGTCTTCAACAAGTGAATTAATTCACGCGGATGAAATATAACAAATAGAAACAATTAGAACAAATAGAAACAATAGAAAGAACAAATAGAAACAAATAATAGAACAAATAGAAACAATACTCATATAAATTACGAGACGATGTCGTGAATACTCCAATTACGACATCTATGGGGCAGTGTCTTGAAAACTCCAGTTATGGCCTGATATGCTCTTCTAAATACATCATTCTAGTTCCATATAATGATATTTATTTCAATTAAAACTATTTTCTTCGGAAAATATTTTAATCGAATATATTGCGCCTCGAATTTTTTTGGAGTTAAGATGGCTCGGGTCTCGGGAATGATTCATGCTCCAGCCTGTTTAATCCCGTTAATCCTGATTTAAAATAGTGGACGGATTATCGGTGGCCATAGCCGGACTTTCTTCACTATACCAATAATGGGACAACATTTCGTCTAATTGCAGCCAACAAGGATTTTGTCGGTGCGATTTCGACGAAGATTTTTAATCGAAAACGACACGTAAACTAAAACTAAAGTAAACTAAAATCGGGGATTCTGTAGACAGGAAGACTCAAGGCAAACAATTGACTTGCCGAAGAATAACAATTTTTTGGCTGCAGCCTGAGCCTTGAGGCCACAAATAAGTTTTTCTCAGTGAATTGCCAGGCAGTGCACGTCAATACAATTTAGCGCTTGATAAGAAATGCGACCAGAGTTG